GTCAGGGAAGCCCCTGGCCCCAGGCAGGCAGCGCTGACGCCTCAATGCTCTCTGCCCACTGCGTCTCCTCGCTCCCAGACTTCCTCCCCCTGAAGTGTGATGCCTGCGAGCAGATCTTCTGCACCGACCACATCGCTTATGCCCAGCACGACTGCACGTCTGCCTACAAGAAGGTAAGTGCAGAGAGGAGGTCTAATCCAGCCTCGTGTACGGAGCTGCTGAGCATTCCCAGCCAGCCATCAGAGTAGTTTGTTGGGCCTGGGAGTGACTTCTTCAGTCACTTGGGACACGCACTGAGTCTGGAGGTGTCCCTGGAAGCCAGGATCTGTATCTCAGTGCCGCAAACTTCCAGCCTGCCCTCTGCCACTGGGTGAAGTGGTTTGGGCATCTCCCAGCCCTGCTGTCTTCCCTTCCCAGAGCATGTGTCCATGCCTGTCACAGCCGCTGGGTCAGAAACAGCAAGTTCTTTGGAGGGTGGCGAGCAGGATCTCAAACTGCAGGTGACGCTGTGGAAGCCACGGCAGGCAGATCCTGAAAGGGGGAGAGATGGCAGCACGGCGCTTAAGGTTGCCCAGCTATGTGCTCCCAGCCCCCTTTTCTTGTCTCTGCAGGATGTGCAGGTCCCCGTGTGTCCCCTCTGCAACACGCCGGTCCCCGTGAGGCGGGGGGAGATGCCTGATGTCGTGGTGGGTGAGCACATTGACCGTGACTGCAAGTCCGACCCCGCGCAGCGCAAGCGTAAGGTAGGAACCCAGCGCTCTCCATCTCACTGCTGGGTCCCTGCCGAAGCCTGGGGGTGGGACGAGAACAGCACACGACTCGGCTCTGCCCAGTGCAGTCTCTGTTAGTCACAGGCCGAGGGCAGGAAGCGTTGGTGAGCTGGAGGTATGCACATCTGCAGGGCTTTGTGGTGTGAGTCTGGGGCTGGGCAGCCACCTGGGACACAAGGAAAGGCAGGATGAGGATGGGAAACTGCATGCCGCCATTAGGAAAATGCAATCAGCAATTAGGTGCCCCTTCTTGCCAGGAGAGGAAATTGCTGCAGGAAGCTGGCCCTGCAGGAATCCAGCCCGACAGCAGCTAGAGGGCTCTGGGCTGTCCCCGCTGCTGCGGCAGGGCAGGCAAGAGTCCCTGGGCAAGGCAGTCTCCTGCTGTGCGTTCTGTGATTGTGGGGATGCTCATCTATGAAGACTGAAGCACCAGTGAATTACTAATAAACTATCTAAAGAAAACTAGTATTCAGAGGCAAACTCCAGAGCCCCACAGAAGTGATGCTGGTGGGGAAACCTGGTCAGTGCCCAGGGCCTGGCATGAAGGGAAGGGACAGCCCCAGCCCTGCCAGGTGTGTTCCTTTTCACCAATGCCATGTTGCCTTTCAGATCTTCACCAACAAGTGTATGAAGCCTGGCTGCAAGCAGAAGGAGATGATGAAGGTGATCTGTGACCAGTGCCACAAGAACTACTGCCTCAAGCATCGGCACCCCCTGGACCACGACTGCAGTGGGGCAGGGCGTCCCCTCTCCAAAGCAGGGTGAGGGTCTGGGGACAGAGAGGCTGGCAGGGAGGGGGCTGTGCTTGCCAGATGAGTGACAGGGAAAAAGCTGAGCTCCTCCTGGCCCATTGTCTGGAACTGCTGCATCCTCACAGAGGAGAGACGAGCCAGGGAGGAGTCTTGCTTATCCAGCTTATTCTCCCTGGGTATTCAGTGCCTGGAGATGGCCTGTGATGGTAAAACAGTTGCTCACAGGCATCCTGTCTGTCCTAGGCATGCTGCAGTTGCAAGAGCCCAGGCATCCTCCTCCAAAACAGTCACTGCATCGAGCAGTGGAGCTGCCCGGCCAGCAGACAGCCCTTCTTCTCCAGCCTCCACCAGGTGTGGTGACAGCCTGACTCGTGATTCTGAGGCAGGCATGACCAGGCTCAGCTTGGCTTCCTGTGGGGTGCAGGAGCGACGGCTCCCACTACCTGTGCGTTGGCAGGGCTGTGTACTCGAACCAGGACTCCCTGCCTTGACGATAACCCAGCTTCTCTCTTGTTCACAGAGGAGGCAGAGCACCCGTGTCGCAGACTCACAGCACCTCCCCTCCGGCTGTCATGCTGCAGAATGGGCTGGTGAGTGGCCTGGCCTGGGCATATGGGATGGGTTTGGGTGGTTCCTGTGCCCTTGGGAGCTTCTGCAGCAACTGCTTTGTAACCCATGCTCTGTAGGTGACCACAGTGCTCCCCAGCTGGGCCTTCCCTGGCAAACAGGGATCCCAGATGCTCAGTGGGGCACCAGCAGTTTGCACTGGTGCCTGCGAATGGCAGCTCTCAGCTCCACCTGGTGCTCAGCTTTCTCTGAAGGGACAAAGTGTGCTGGCCGTTTTCCCCAGGTGTTGTTCTGCAAGCCAAGGGTGGAGGCTGGAAGCTGCTTCCCACCAGTGTTGTTAGCGTGTTCCCTGCACAGGCAGGCGGGGCTGTGCTCCCTTAGGCAGGGGGAGAGAGCGCTGCAGGTTTGCCTGGAGCCCGAGGCCTTCACCTTGGCTGTGTCTGACCTTGGAGATGGGAGATGCACCCACCCTTGGCCAGGCAAGACTACACCTGCTATGTGTCCCTCAGGGCTGCCTCCTGTCACCCCTGCCCAAGCTGGTGATGATATGTTTTGTTTCAGAGCGAGGAAGAGGCACTGCAGCGAGCTCTGGAGATGTCCCTAGCAGAGTCAGCACGCAGCTCAGCACATCCACCCAGGTACGGCCCGGGGACACGTGGCGTCATGCCCCAAGCCTGTGTGAGAGCGGTGCCCGGGGCAGCATCATGTGGCTCCAGGATGACATCCCTCTCAGCACGTGGCTCCGGATGATGCCTCTGTGTGGTTGACTGGGGAAAAAAAAAAGGAAGAGTCCAGAGCCATCACAGAGCTCTGTTCAGCGAGCAAGCTCTCCAGGGTGCTGCGAGGGGACGGTGACTGACAGCACAGAGTAGGGCAAACCATTGTCTGACCGCTTGTCAGCTACTGAACGTGGCTAGAGCGTGACAGAAGTGGAGTAGGCGTGTTCACAGAGGACACCTGGGAGCCCATGTTCTCGGGCACGTTGCCTGCTGCTGCTAAAAGCACCGTCTTACAGGCTGGAATTAATGTGGTTCTCCTTGGCCCGGGGTGCTGGCTACCAGCCCCAGCTGGATCCTCTGGTCCCTCCCCAGCCCCTGGCTTCTTCAGGGTGATCCTCAGTTGCTCCCTGTCCTTAGCTGTCCTGGAGGGTTGCAGTGACAGGAGATCCCGCCACCCCAAAGGTCTGGGCGCTGGGCTGGTGAGCCTGGGGGAGGCCCAGGCACAGAATGCTCCGCTGTCCCCAGCAGCACGCAGGAGGAGGAGGATCTAGCACTGGCCCAGGCGCTGTCAGCGAGCGAAGCAGAGTACCAGCAGTCGCAGCGGCAGGTGAGTGAGGCTGGCCGTAGGCTCTGCGCCATGGTGGGGTCGATCCCAGCCTGACTCTGTCATGGTGGGGTCTTCCCTGGGTTCTGCTTCCTCCGGGCTCTGTCTAGGGCCACTTTTCTCACCAGGAGGACACCCCAGCCTGGGGCAGTGGCAGCCCCGCTGCTGAGCACACAGCCCTGGGTACTTGAGCACTGGATGTGCCCCCTTGTAGGACAGAGGAAGAAGCTCGTCTTCCCTTGCTCACTGTGCCCTTCTTCCCGTTCCAGGCACACGGTTCGAAGCCATCGAACTGCAGCATGTCGTAGGCAGGTGAGGCAGGGTGTGCCAGTGGATGTGGGATCCTGCTTGTGACCCGAGGAGCAGCCCTGGCCTCCCGTGTGGATGCCCTGGGGTTCTGGCCTGGACACTGACCACATGAGCCCCTCACCAGGAACAAGTCATCTCCCTGGGGGCTGTAGGCAGGCCACCGAACATGCACTGACACCTCTGCCCTTGTACATGTATAAAATTGGTGCAGCAAATTGCTGATGCTCCCAGAGAGGTGAAGACAGTGTGGAATGAGGCTGAGTACACGCTGACCAAAGCAAGCAGCAGCCCGCGGCACGCACTTAGCCACAGCCGTGTCCCAACACTGCTGGGACTGTGGGATGAGGGCAGAGCCGGCCTGGAGGGAAGTGCCGTGCGGGGACATCTCCACACGCTTGGACGTACAGCTGGGATACAGCTGCCCGCTGCAGTAGCGGGGAGCTGGATTTCATGCTCCAGGGAGGGCCGTGCCAGCCCCTCAAAGTGGACTGTGGCTGGGACAGTCTCTCATTTGGGCATGGCATGGCTGAATGTACGGCCTCCCAGCAGCGTGAAGGCAGCCCCCTCCCCACGCCCTCGGTGCCTCCCCTGCTGTTTGCATGCACATGAGTATGTTGGGCCTTACCCGACTCAGCTGGGGCCCAGGACGTCTCTGAGACTGAATGGAGCTGTGTTTCCTTTCTGGTTTAATTTAACAAGGGCCATTAACTGGAAAGTAACCTCAGCAGTGACTTGACTGTGCCGGTGTCGCTCACGCGGGAGGACTGCAGCTGCCTTTCTGCTGCTGGCTGCTCCTCGGCTACCCTGAACTATCACAGGGCCCTCTTTTAATGCTGCTGGGGCAGGTACGCCTCCCTCCTTCCAGCCATGCTGCAGGGGATCCCCTCCTGGAGAGCAGCAGCACAGAACCCCTTCTTGCAAACGCAGCCCTGAGCCTGAAGCCAGCCCTTCCTTGCTGGTGTTTGGAGGCAGGAGCTGACCCCTGGGTGGGGGGGATTTGTCCTGCTGGCCTCTTGCCGGGGCAGGGGGCTGCAGCTGTGCAGAGCGGTGCTGCTTTCTCACCCGCTCTTTTGTGCTTCCCTGCTGGAACCGCTCCTGCTTGCAGGGCTGTGCCTGGTTCTGCACAGGGCTGGGCTGTACTGCGCCGAGCAGCGTACGGCGGACGGGGGGGGGTTTATCTGCTGGCAGTGCATCCCTGGGTGGGGAGGTGGGTTCAGGCTGGGTTGAAGGAATGCTGAGATTTATCAAAGTGCTGCTTGGGAGAAAATAAAAGCATAGCACAAGGTGCAGAGGCACTGTGTGGGACCGGTTGCTTGGTGTCCAGCCCAGAGCAGTGCATCTCTGCAGATGGGGGTGCAAGGCGGGGGGCACATGGTGGTGAAGCGTGCACCAGCTGCACTGCTTCTTCCTTTGCAGCTGGAGT